CACAGACTCTGAAACAGGCTCCAGGCTCTGAGCTGGCAGTCAGCACAGAGCCCGACGCGGGGCTCGAACCCACGAACCGTGAGATCATGACCTAAGTGAAAGTCGGACGCTTAACCGACTAAGCCACCCAGGCGCCCCTTACCATTGAATTTTAAAGACTGGATTTTCTAGCTAGCTTGCCATGTTGCTACTGAGAAATCAGATCCCATTGTGATATTTTATCCTTGGTGTGTGATCTGTTTGTTCAAAAGCCATTAGAATCTCTTCTTTAGTCCTGCTAGTATGAAGTTTCAGAATGGATGTGGCTTAGTGTAAAGGAGGGTTTTTTAGTTTTGTTTTTTGCATTCATTGTTGATAGTGGGTGGGCCCTTGTAACAAGACATCCATATCCTTGAGTTCCAAGAAATTAAAAAACATTTTTTTTAATGTTAATGTTTATTGATTTTTGAGAATGAGAGAGACAGAGCATGAGTGGAGGAGGGGCAGAGAGAGGGAGACACAGAATCTGAAGCAGGCTCCAGACACTGGGCTTGAACCCACAAACCTCGAGATCACGATCTGAGCCGAAGTCAGACACTTAATCGACTGAGCCACCCAGGTGCATAAGAAATGTTTTATGGTATTTTATCTGTCTTTTGATCTATCTATTTTTATCTCTCTTTTTTTTTTTTTTTTCCTGTTTTCTTTCTGGGATTTCTTTTCAGTGGATATTGGAACTCATGGACTGATCACATCAGGTTCATTGCCTCTTCTTATTTCTTTATCTTTTGTTTCACTTTCTTAGGAAATCTCTGTAGCTTTGTTTTCCAGCTGTTAATGCTGAAATGTTTCTGCTCTCACTAATATTTTCAGGAGCCTTTTCTTGTTCTTTAAATATTCCTTTTCTTATAGCCTCCTCATTTCCTGGATGCAATATCTTCTCTTATTTACCTGAGAATGTTAACTGTAGGTCGTTAGACCTTCTGTTTTACACACTGCATGTTTCCTCAACACTTTCATTCGAGGTTTTCCTGAAATGTTGGTAATCTTCTACTTTCCATTTTTATGTAATATTCAAACATAAGAATTCTGACTGAAAACTCTTTTTTGGGCTAGGATTGTTACCTGGTGGTCTTAATATAGGGGCAGTCATCAGGTGCTCTGTGGTTTTTTGTTTGTTTTTATTTTTGAATGTAGCTGACACACAATGTTCTATCAGTTTCAGGTGTACAGCATAGTGATTAGACAAGTGTATACATTGTGCTCTGCTCACCACAAGTGTAGCTACTGTCTGGCTGGGTACATCTTATTAAATTATCATCCACTGTATTCCTAACATTGTCCCTTTTATTCCCCTGACTTACTCATTCCATAACTAGAAGCCTGTACCTCCCATTTTGCCCAGCCTTTTTCTGTGTCCCCTCTGGCAACCATCGGTTTGTTCTCTATATTTATAGATCTAATTCTTTTTATTTGTTTATTTTTTTTTTTTGGATTCTACATATGTGTAGAATCATATGGTATTTGTCTTTCTCAGTGTGACTTACTTATTTGTTTTTAATTTATTAAGAGGTGTCTGTTTGTGTGTTTTTTAAAGCAGTCTTTACTCCCAGCACAGGGCTTGAACTCTCAACCCTAAGATCAGGAATCGCATGCTCTACTAACTGAGCCAGCGAGTACCCCCATGACTTATTTCATTTAGCATAATACCTTCTAGGGCCATCTGTGTTGTTTCAGATGGCAAGATCTCATCCTTTTATGGTTGTATAATATTCCATCATGTAGGGTATATCACATTTTCTTCATCTATTTATGGACACTTAGGTTACTTCCATATTTTGACTATTGTAAACAATGCTGCAATAAATGTAGGAGTACATATATCTTTTTGAATTAGTGTTTTCATTTTTGGGTAAATATGCGATAGTGGAATTATTGGATCATAAGGTATTTCTATTTTTAGTTTTTTGAGGAACCGCTGTACTGTTTTCCACAGTGACTACACCAATTTGCATTCCCATCAACAGTGTGTGAGGGTTCCTTTTTCTCCGCATCTCCACCAATACTTGTTATTTCTTGTCATACTGATTTTAGCCATTCTAACTGGTATAATTGGTGATAGCTCCTTGTGGTTTTCATTGCATTTGCCTGATGATTAGTGATGTTGAGCATCTTTTCATGTCTGTTGGCCATCTCTATGTCTTCTTTGGAAATATGTCAGTTCAGATCCTATGCCCATTTTTTAATTTGGTGTTTATTTTGGTGTTGACTTGTGTAAGTCCTTTATAGGTCTTGAATATTAACCCCTTATCAGGTATATCATTTGCAAGTATCTTCTCTCATTAAGTAGGTTGTCTTTTTGTGTTGATATTTTCCTTTGCTATGCAAAAGGTTTTTTTTTTTTAAGTTTTTATTTTTGGGGCACCTGGGTGGTGCAGTTGGTTAAGCGTCTGATTTCAGCTTAGTTCATGATCTTGCAGTTTTTATGTTTGAACCCCACATCAGGCTCTGTGCTGACAGCTCGGAGGCTGGAGCAAGCCTCAGGTTCTGTATCTCCCTCTCTGTCTGCCCCTCCCCTGCTCTCATTCTGTCTCTGTCTCTCTCAAAAATAAATAAAACATTAAAAAGAATTTTTTAATTAAAATTTTTTTATTTTTAGCTAATCTCTACACCCAGTGTGGGGCTTGAACCCACAACCCTGAGATCAAGAGTCACGCGCTCCACCAACTGAGCCAGCCAGGTGCCCCCTGCAAAAGCTTTTTTTATTTTGATGTGGTCGCAATAGTTTATTTTTGCTTTTGTTTCCTTTGTCTCAGGAGACATAATGTAGAAAATAGCCGATGACAGAGAAGTTACTGCCTATGTTCTCCTCTAGGAGTTTTATGGTTTCAGGTCTCACATTTAAGTTTCTAATCCATTTTGAATTTATTTTTATATGCGGTGTTAGAATGTGGTCCAATTTCATTCTTTAACGTGTAGCTATCCAGTTTTCCCAACACAGTGTATTGAAGAGACTGTCTTTTCCCCATTGTATATTCTTGCCTTTTTGTTATTGATTAATTGACCACACAATTGTGGGCTTATTTCTGGGCTGCCTATTCTTTTCCATTGATCCATATGTCTGTTTTTGTTCCCATACCATACTATTTTGATTACTACAGATTTGTAGTGTATCTTTTTTCTTTTTAAGATTTTATTTTTAAGTGATCTCTGCACCCGGTGTGGGCCTTGAACTTAGAACTGCAAGATCAAGAGTCACGCACTCCACCCACTGGGCCTGCCAGGCAGCTCTGTAGTATATCTTGAAATCTAGTGGGGCGCCTGGGTGGCTTAGTTGGTTAAGCATCCGACTTTCGCTTAGGTCATGATCTCGCGGTTCGTGGGTTCGAGCCCCGCGTCAGGCTCTGTGCTGACTGCCAGCTCGGAGCCTGGAGCCTGTTTCAGAGTCTGTGACTCCCTCTCTCTCTGACCCTCCCCTGCTCATGCTGTCTCTCTCTCTCTCTCCTAGAAATTAAAAAGAAAAAAAATTTGAAAAAAAATTAAAAAAAAAAAAAGAAATCTGGTATTGTGATACCTCTGGCTTTGTTCTTTTTTTCTCAGGATTGCCTTGCCTATCAGGTGCTGTTTTGGGGAATTCCCATATGTCAGGCCTGGGCTTGCGAGTTTTGCCATAGAGAGATTTATTCAACAAATATTTTATTGAGTGTCTGCAATAAGACAGGTGCTTTTTTTTTTTTTTTTTTTTTTAGAGTTTATCCATTTTTGAGAGAGAACTAGCATGAGCAGGGGAGGGATTGGGGGGTGGATAGAGGATCTGAAGCAGGCTTTCCACTGACAGCACAGAACTGATGCGGGTCTCGAACTCATGAGCCAAGAGATCATGACCTGAGCCAAAGTCAGACGCTTAACCAACTGAGTCACCCAGGAACCCCGGCCAGGCACTGTTCTAAGTGCTGAGAACACATCAGGGAATAAAACCTATGAAATCCCTGCCACAAAAATCCCTGCCTTTTCTTGCCTGGAGGACGTAAGCTTTGGAGCTTACAGTTTGGGACGTGAGTAGAGGATGGCACTGAGGTTCTACCAATTGTGTGTTCCTTTTCACTTGATTTTCCTGATACGAAAGTGGTCCCTGTCCCCAGTTCTTAGCTGTGCCTTATGTCCCCAGTCCAGAATTTATCTGGTTCAGTCTCCCTGGGGAGTAAACTGCAAAAATTCTGGATTGGGGGTAGAATCTGGTGCCTTGACTGCTCGTTTATAGACTTCCAGTCAGTCCTAGATTTGTCTCCTACCCAGAGGCTGCCTCCAGACATTGGACGCACAGGGTGTGTCTGTTACCATAACTTTCCACATGAATAGAATTTCTCTTGTTAAACCATCCTCCATTCATGGGGTATAGGCTGTTGTGCCCTTCTTGACACCCCTTCCTGATATTGTGACTCCTGTAACAGTGGAGTAAGGCAGGGGGAAAGAGATGGACATGTGGGTATAGGCACAAGTGAAAAAGGAAAGAAATGGGGTTTGTACAGGTAAATGTCAGCACATTTGACAAGTTAATTAAAATCATTTAACTTGAGGGGCTCCCGGGTGGCTCAGTTGGTTAAGGGTCTGGCTTAGGCTCAAGTCATAATCTCATGATCTGTGAGTTCGAGCCCCACGTTGGGCTCTGTGCTGACAGCTCAGAGCCTGGAACCTGCTTTAGATTCTGTGTCTCCCTCTCTCTGTCCCTCCCCACTCACGCTCTGCCTCTCTCCCTCTCTGAAAAATAAGTGAACATTAAAAAAAATTTTTTTTTAATCATTTAACTTGAGTGGTTCATGGAGAATATTAGAAAAGTTTTGGGAGGGTGGGTATTTTTTTGCAGGCACTTGCTTGTTTTACTCTTGCACCAGGATGAAATGTCAGCCTTTTTTCTTTCTTTTTTTTAATTGTATTTAAATCCAAATTTGTTAACATCTAGTGTAATAATGGTTTCAGGAGTAGAATTTAGTGATTCATCCCTTACATATGACACCCTGATGCTCATCATAACAAGTGCCCTCCTTAATGCCCATCCCCCTCACCTACCTCCCCTCCAACAACCCTTAGTTTGTTATTTGTATTTAATACAAATAAATACAAATTTGTCTTATGGTTTGCCTCCCTGTTTATTGTTGTTTTAATGTTTCAGGTTTGGAAACCAGAACTGAGAACAAAGACTTTATTCCAAAACAAGAAATTTTAGAAGAAATAGAGCTGCAGGGGCAGCTACAAGAAAGGTCCCACAGGAAGGCTTCCCTGGGGTGTGGTGATACTCGTGGGAATGGAGTAGAAAAGCAGTCAGAAAATCCCTCATCGCTGAAACTGGAAAATTCTCCTGAAGAGGAAGGACTCCCCAGCACTGCAGATCTCAAGAATGGTCCCACAAAGGATGGAGACCTCAAGCATGATGAATGTGGGAACAGGGCCAGAAGTTCAAACTGGGTTCTTTGTCAGCATGTGCAGGCCGCGGGGAGGCCCGTTGATGGCAGCGAACAGGGGGACAGTCGTACACAGAGTTCAGAGCTGGTAAAGCATCACACGGTGAAACCCCCCGACTCTGTCGACAGCAAAGAACAGCTCCACAGCGCAGGCCTCTTTGAGACCCGGCAGCGGCTCCGGGAAGAAAGGCCTTATAAATGTGGGAACTGTGAGAAGAGTTTCAAACAGCGTTCTGACCTTTTTAAACACCAGAGAATCCACACTGGGGAGAAACCCTACAAATGCCAAGAGTGCGGGAAGAGCTTCAGCCAGAACGCTGCCCTGATCAAACACCAGAGGACACACACGGGCGAAAAGCCATACACCTGCCCCAAGTGTGGGGACAGCTTCCGGCAGAGCTCCCATCTCAACCGGCACCAGAGGATCCACGTAGGAGAGAAACACTTCAAATGTCACGAATGTGGGGAAACCTGCCGTATTTCCAACCGTTTTAGACATCAGAGAATTCACAAAGGGGAGAGACCCTACACGTGTGAGGAGTGTGAGAAGAGCTTCAAACGGTGCTCGGACCTCTCTAAACACCAGAGGATCCACACCGGGGAGAAGCCATACGGGTGTTCTGTGTGTGGAAAACGCTTCAGTCAGAGCGCAACCCTCATTACGCATCAGAGGACTCACACTGGAGAAAAACCTTATAAGTGTCTTGAATGCGGGGAAAGCTTTAGACAGAGTCCACACCTTATCCGACACCAAAGGATCCATAGAAATAAAGTCCCATTGGGGCGCCTGGGTGGCTTAGTCGGTTAAGCGTCCGACTTTCGCTTAGGTCATGATCTCGCGGTTCGTGGGTTCTAGCCCCGCGTCGGGCTCTGTGCCGACTGCCAGCTCAGAGCCTGGAGCCTGTTTCAGTCTGTGACTCCCTGTCTCTCTGACCCTCCCCTGCTCACGCTGTCTCTCTCTCTCTCTCCTAGAAATAAATAAAACATTAAAAAAAAATTAAAAAAAAAAAAATAAAGTCCCATTGGTTTGACATGGCTGCTTCATGGGGTGGGTGTGTGTGTGTGTGTGTGTGTGTGTGTGTTCGTTCTGCTGTCCAGAAACACCATTCTTTGGCATTTGAAGTATGTCATTTGTGGATCTCATTTCCACGGGCATCACACACACTACAGATCCATCAGTCTGACTTGGGTCTTAGTATCTACTCTGAGCATCACCAAGAAGCAGGAATGTGTAAGTAGGGAGTCTTCCGAAGGATAAGGGTGTCCCCTGGAAGGGCCTCCTGACAACAGCAAGGGCTTACTTGGGACAGTTCTGTCCTGGTCTCTTCTTACCTCCACTTTCAGACCAAATCTTCCCCATTCCACTCATTTCCCTGAGAAATATTTGAGTCACTTAGAATTTTCTCTCTGCTTCGATGGTGGACAGGATTTCAAATACATGATGATCTAAAACACCGTTTAAAGTTCGGTACATACAAGACACTATATTTTTTGCTTTTTTAAAAATTAATTTTACAGAGTTTCTCTTTCTTCCCCATTCTAGGGGTTCCATTTTATACGTCTTGTTGATTTCAAAGTAGAAGCAAAGGAAAACCCCACCCAAATACACTTATTAATTCCCGTCATTATATCATTTTTGAAGCTTATTAAATTAAGGGTGCTTTATTTGAGAACTTCTGGTTTTTGATGAAAGTCTGCATTAAACCTTTTGTTAAGCTTTGTGTGGGGGGCAAGGAGGGTGGCTCTTGACAAATAGCCTAAAACATGTTTCTTCTGTCAAGGCTTTTGTATGTATGTATTTGAGAGAGAGAGAGTGAACAGGAGAGGGGCAGAGAGACAGGGAGAGACAGAATCTGAAGAAGGCTCCAGGCTCTGAGCTGTCAGCAGAGGGACAACGAGAGGGCTGCCCTGGGTGTGTTCAGGTTCTGGTGTGTCATGTGGAGAGTGTCACTTATGAATGATTTCATATCTAGCACTGGGGCTGAGAATGAGGACATGTACATTGTGTCTAAGCAGGCCATAAGGTGTATCACACTGGTGTTCTCCCCAAGCTTATCAAGGTTATTTGCCCAAGGTCACAGAGCTAGTAAGCAATAGAGTAGTAGCAATACCCTGATCCCAGTGTTCTTTTTACTGAGGAATGCCACAGACATTTTTTTTTTTTTTTTTTTTTTTGAGAGAAGGTACACACCTTCAAGGGCAGAGGGGGAAGAAGAGAAATCTTAAGCATAGAGCCCAAAGTGGGGCTTGATCCCACTTTGGGATCATGACCTAAGCCAAATTCAAGAGTCCAGTGCTTAACTGACTGAGCCACCCAGGCGCCCCAGGAACACCACAGACTTAGAGCCAGCTCTCCTTTCTGTACTTTAGCCTTCCCTCTGTTCTTCCCTTCTTCACCCTCTCTACACATTGACTGTTGCTTACATACTACTTGAATTTTCCACATATATGCCGTTGTCCAAGATGCTTTTAATCCCAGCTTCCTTTCCCCAGATGCTAACCCACCAGATTAATAACAGAAAAGTCTTATAAAATGACTTTAAAATGTCACTTCTCAATTATCCTACCCCAATTATTTCATTTACTAAACTACCATTATCTGTAGGCTTTGTCACTTACCATGCAAACTATTATATCCAGTAAGTTAACGTGAATACACCATCTCTGATCCCTAGGTTATAAAGGGTCAGTGTATTAGTCACTTTGGTGCCAAAACAAAAGACCACAGACTGAGTGGCTTAAACAACATGTTTATTTTCTCCATTCTGGAGGCTGGACATCCAAGGTCAGGGTGCCCTCAGGGCTGGTTTCTGTTGATGCCCCTTCCTGACTTCTAGATGGCCGCCTTCTCACTGTGTCCTCACATGGCCTTTCCTCTGTACAGTGGATGGATAGGCCTCTGGGGTCCCTTCCTCTTACAAGGACACCAGTCAGCACTAAAGGCCCCACACTTAGGACCTCATTCAACCTCAATTACCTCCTTAAAGACCCTATTTCTTTTTTTTTTTCTTCTTAATGTCTTTATTTTGAGAGACAGAGACAAAGCGAGTGGGGGAGGGGCAGAGAGAGAGGGAGACAGAATCTGAAACCAGCACAGACCCCGATGTGGGGCTCGAACCCACAGACTGTGAGATCATGACCTGAGCCGAAGTCGGACACTTAACTGACTGAGCCACCCAGGCGCCCCATTAAAGGCCCTATTTCTCTCTCTCTCTCTCTCTCTCTCTCCCTACCCCCCTCTCGCTCACTCGCTCTCGCTCTCGCGCTCTCGCGCTCTCTCCTGGTGTCTTTCTCTCTCTCTCTCAGAAAAGAATAAAAGCATTTAAAAGAATTATTTTTAATAAAATACTTCTCTTTAAAGAAAAAAATAAAAAAATAAAGGCCCTATTTCTAAATACAGTCACACTGGGGGGTTAGGACTTCAATGTATGAATCTGGGGGGACACAATTCAGTCCATAACAGAAGGGAATAATCTTTCCATTCTTCACATAGATCTACATAGCATCTTCTGTCCTACAAAGCGTGAAGTCCAGATATTTGCTAACAAAGTGTTAGAATTCCTGACTGGAGTTAGCAGAGAGAGTGATATGGTCATTTAAATCTATTGTCTTAGCTTGCCTTTGTTTGAAACATTTTTTTTTTATTTTTTTTTAATTTTTTTTAATTTATTTCTAGAGAGAGAGAGAGCGTGAGCAGGGGAGGGTCAGAGAGAGAGGGAGTCACAGACTGAAACAGGCTCCAGGCTCTGAGCTGGCAGTCAGCACAGAGCCCGACGCGGGGCTCGAACCCACGAACCGCGAGATCATGACCTAATCGAAAGTCGGACGCTTAACCGACTAAGCCACCCAGGCGCCCCTGTTTGAAACATTTCTAAGTTCTGTTCTGGAAGGTCCTGTGCCCTGCTCAGGACTCAGAGGTCTCTAGGGCAGAGACATAGAGTGAAAAGGGAAGCTCCTGGGGCTCAGAGGTGGGAACCACAGCAGCATATGGCTGGGCCCCTCACTAACCCCACCAGAGAGTGAGGGACCAGAGAGTTGTTTGGCATCTTGAGGTTCCTAGGAGGGACATGTGGCAGGGCTGTCTACTAGGCACATTCATTGGGGTGAGCCCACTTCCCACCATGCTAACCTGGCAAGTTCTGGACACTCTTTGACAACCACTGGTGCCCAAGCAGGTGTCACAGTGGAATGTGGGATGATCTGACACAGCATAGCTTGGGAGCCTCCGTGGCCACTCATCTTGGATACCCACACATCCACACTGCCACTTCGAATGATTTGCCTAGAACATCTGTTAACCTTCAGAACCCACTCTGGATTATTCTGGGAAGCAAAGGGCTTATCATAATTGGGCTCCCCACTTTGATTATTTTTAATTGTCCAAGGCCCATTTGCCAGACTATATGGCTTAGCTGTTGGCCACAGCCCAAGAATAGCGTTTAGGGCATACCTCTAGGTGTCCTTAGAGCCAAGTGTCTGCCTGTAACAGTCTCCCTGGACCAGATTGCTGATTTCCAAATCAGTTCTCATCCATACAACTGAGAGCTACCATCAGGAAATTTGCTTTAAAGATTTTATTTTTAAGTAATCTCTACATCCAATATGGGGCTCAAATTCACAACCCGGAGATCAAGAGTTGCATGCTCCACCAACTGAGCCAGCAGGTGCCCCTATCTCTTTAATCAATCTAGTTTTATTTATTTATACTTATACTTTAATTTATTTTTTAAAATGTTGTTTTTATTTCTGAGAGAGTGAAATATGAGTAGGGGAGGGTCAGAGAGACAAGGAGACACAGAATCTGAAACAGGCTCCAGGCTCTGAGCTAGCTGTCAGCACAGAGCCCGACGCGGGGCTCGAACCCACAAACCGTGAGATCGTGACCTGAGCCAAAGTCGGACGCTCAACCAACTGAGCCACCCAGGCACCCTATACTTATACTTTTTAAAATTAATTGATTATTTATTTGGGAGTTTTATGGCTTCTACTTAGCAGTGGAGGGATGCACTTTTTCATAGGTCCTCATCTCCCAAGGTTGTTTTAAGGTGGACTTTTCTCTCACAGGCTTATTTCCCCCTCAGTTAGAAGTCTCAACTTCTTAATTTTGTTTAGGTTCTTCTAGCCAATCCATGCTGGCCACTACAAAATTACTGCTTTTTGAAGCCAATATACAATCTATCACTTATTATATTCCTCCTCCAAGTCTTCAGATTCCTTAATTTTCTTAGGTGCCACTTCCTTTCTTAGTAGATCTTTGTTTTTATATGTTCCGTAAGAAGTCATGGAATTGGTAGGAGCAAGAAAATAGAATCAAGAAGAAACTAGTGAGGATTTATAGGAGAGGGTCTAAATGGCAGCGATTTTGTAATGCAACTTAGGATGGTGTTTCGGATATTAGAATTTCAAATGGAGGGGTGCCTGGGTGGCTTAGTCGGTTAAGCGTCCGACTTTCGCTTAGGTCATGATCTCGCGGTTCGTAGGTTCTAGCCCCGCGTCGGGGTCTGTGCTGACTGCCAGCTCAGAGCCTGGAGCCTGTTTCAGTCTGTGACTCCCTCTCTCTCTGACCCTCCCCTGCTCACACTGTCTCTCTTTCTCTTCTAGAAATAAATAAAACATTAAAAATTTTTTTTTAGAATTTCAAATGGAGTTTTTGTCTTGTGAGCTGTAGGGAAGAGTTGTAAGGTCAGCTCCACTTATATAACCTGAACGTAAGAGTGTGCTTGGAATAACCGGAGAAAGGGATTTGGCTCCCCAAGGACTAGAGCTGACACTTTTTGAGCTCAAGCAACTTATTCGTGGGGAGAAGAAGTATTGAAACACTGGGAGGGGAGCATAGAAGAGACAGCAGGGAAGATGGCTGACCAGGTGCTTCCAAGGTAAATAAATGCATAATCCTATGGGAAAACTGAAAACCATGTAAAACACATGCTTCAGAGATATTCCCCCTAAAGGGAGAATATCATATTTGTCAAATTCCCATCAAGTTTTAGTCGAGGCCTGCTCTCAAAATGTGCTAGTTGCCCTATGGAGCAGTGGCCTTTTCGTGGCTTTAGAAAAAGCCAGAGGACCAAGAGACACACAGTGCAAGTCAGATGAAGCCCAACAGAGGGAGTAAGCAGAGGGCAGGGGCACCGACAGTTTCTGTTAACACTTGACTTAGAACTCTCAGTAGAATCTAGTGGCACACTAATTTTAGTGTGTGGATACATTTTAGTAATTCTTAGTATCTCATTAGTTACTTGTCAGTAGACCTTAACTTTGCTTTTAAAAAGTCAATGTAATATCAGGTAACTTTTCCATATGAACCCAAGGAAAGGCATTTGTTTATACCTTTTTTTTTTTTAATTAAAAACTTCTTTTTCCTCCAGTTTTATTGAGAAATAAGAAAAGCATTCTTAAATCGTTCATAATCCATTAAATGGTCTCCAGCTTAGGGCACCACTGAGTTTTTATGCCTCCCTTTTGCCTTAACTTGACTTAAGGGAATGAAAGTATGGTTGGGGAGACGGGCTCAAGGGAGAGTGGACACAACAGCTTATTACATGTTTTATTAAGTCATTCTTTTTTAAAAAAAAATTTCTTTAATGTTTTATTTATTTCTGAGAGAGAGAGAGACAGCGTGAGCAGGGGAGAGTCAGAGAGAGAGGGAGATACAGAATCTGAAGCAGGCTCCAGGCTCTGAGCTGTCAGCACAGAGCCCGACGTGGGGCTCGAACCCACAAACCATGAGATCATGACCTGAGCCGAAGTCGGACACCCAACCGACTGAGCCACCCAGGTGCCCCTTATTAAGTCATTCTTAACACAGCAAGAAGGTTAGCTACAGAAAAAGGGTCCCCAAAGCAAAACCATTTCAATTCCTGTTGATTAATTTTCTTAAAACAATGTAATTTCATATACCTACAATAGTGGTAAGTTCTGGTCTTTTTTTTTTTTTTTTAAGATTTTGAGTTATCTCTATACACAATGTGGGCCTCAAAATCACAACCCCGAAATCAAGAGTTGTAGTCTCCACTGCCAGCCAGACAGATGCCCCCAGTTGTGGTCTTTAAATGGTCTTTTTCCAGTTAGTATCACATAGATATCTGTTCTCTGTGAGTACCCTGATGCTTAATAAAGCTTGTACGCCAAATAAAAGATTTTCCACATTTGTCACATCTGTAGGGTCTCTCTCCGGTATGAATGACCTCATGGCGATGAAGATTTGCCTTGAAACTAAAAGTTTTTCCACACTCTCTACATTCAAAGAATTCCTCCTTGGTATGGGTTCTTTGATGCTGAATGAGGTCTACATTCCGACTGAAGCAATCCCCACATTCACTGCATTTATGAGTGTTCTGTTTAGTGTGAATCTGTTGATGGTTCATGAGGGTTGAATGCCGACCAAAGGCTTTTCCACATTCAACACATTTATGGGGTTTTTCTCCACTATGGATTAGCTGATGTCGAATAAGGGTTGAATTCTGACTAAACGTTCTTTCACACTCACTACATTTATAGGGTTTTTCTTTGGTGTGGATCCTCTTATGTTCAATAAGATATGCCATCTGACGGAAACATTTTCCACAGTCATGACATTTATATGGCTTTTTCTGCAGGTGACACTGTTTATGGACAGCAAGAGTGGACTTCTGTTTGAAGGCTTGCCCGCATATGTCGCATTCAAAGGGATCCTCTGATGTGTGAATTCTTTGATGTCGAACAAAATTTGCTTGACGCCTGAAGACTCTTCCACATTCACTGCATTCGTAAGATTTTGTGTTTGGAGGAATCTGCTTATTCTGCAAAAGCAGTGATCTCTGACTGAAAGGCTTTCCATACTCATCATGCTGGCCGTGCCTCTTCCCTGCTTGAGCATTCTGATCTTGAAGAAGGTGAAGGTTTTGAAGGAAGTTCTTGTTGCATTCATCACCAATAGTGGGGAAGGTGAGGCTGTAAATGTCCACCAATTCGTTACATTTATGTAGCTTTTCTGAAGGTCTCTTGGCTGTTTTCTGCTTTACTGCCGATGTGTTACACAACTCCAAATCTTCATAGACCTTCTGCTTTGGAATTGGCTTTTTCATCTTCCATTTGGTTTCAGAACCTATCCAAATAAAAAAACATAGAAATGACCTGTCCACCGCCTCACAGAAGGAAAAAAAGAAGCCAAATGAGTGTGTGGAAGACACTTAAATGACGCAAAGTGCTTGCTTAGTTATATCGTCCTGCTAACAAGGCCCAAATTCTGATTTCCACAGGACTCTCGGCTTTGACAGCAGAAAGAGTTCTCAAAATCAACTGAACGACTAAAAAATGCACAAGTGTGTGTCAGAGAAGTGAGAACTGAGTAAATACATCACTACTTATGGAAAAACAACCTACCCTTGGTACCTAGTAAAGTCACATAAATGTAGGAGAGGTTACTTCTTATACTTTCTAGCTTAGTATTTTTTAATAATTCTGAGAGAAACAACTTTTTAAAAATGGAGAACATAAGACACAAGAAAAAAGGAACCAGAGGGAAGTAGGTACAAAGGCCAATGGAATAGAGCAGAGGTTTTCAATCAGAGGTGATTTTGCCTCCTGGGGGACGCTGGACAATGTCTTAATACATTTCTGGTTATCCCAACTAGGATGGTGCTACTCAAATCTAATGGGTAGAGGCCAGTATGCTCAACACCCACCGACACACAGGACAGCTCCTCCACAGCAAAAAACTATCCAGCCCGGGGCGCCTGGGTGGCTCAGTCGGTTAAGCATCCAACTTCAGCTCAGGTCATGATCTCAAGGTCTGTGGGTTCAAGCCTTACATTGGGATCTGTGCTGACAGCTCAGAGCCGGCAGCCTGCCTTGGATTCTGTGTCTTCTTCTCTCTCTGTCCCTCCCCTGCTTGTACTCTGTCTCTCTCTCAAAAATAAACATTTTTTTAAAAAATTAAAAGAAAAAAAGAATAATGTAGCTCAAAATGTCAATAGAGCAGAGGTTGAGAAACGCTGGAACAGAGGAATGTGAAAAAAAAAAGGTAGAAGTAGCAATCAGGACATTGTAAGTAGGAAAAAGTAGACATGCCAAGAAACACTGTGGGAATATGAGAAAAAGGATGAAAGCAAAGGAATCAGAGGAAACAGAGGGGAAGGATAAGTAATGAGCGTAGAAGAAAGAAGCATCCGGTTTGGCACAAGAGCTGTGAGGCCAGCTGATTTAGAAAAGCACTCTAACGGGGCGCCCGGGTGGTTTAGTCGGTTAAGCGTCCGACTTTCGCTTAGGTCATGATCTCGTGGTTTGTGGGTTCGAGCCCCACATTGGGCTCTGTGCTGACTGCCAGCTCAGAGCCTGGAGCCTGTTTCGGAGTCTGTGATTCCCCCTCTCCCTCTCTCTGACCCTCCCCTGCTCACGCTGTCTCTCTCTCTCTCCTAGAAATAAATAAAACAGAAAAGAAAAGAAAAGAAAAGAAAAGAAAAGAAAAGAAAAGAAAAGAAAAGAAAAGAAAAGAAAAGAAAAGAAAAGAAAATTCTACCACAGTAGAACGAACATGAGCTTTAGAGGCTTGAAATTGGATCCCAACTATCAATCTACTGTGTGACAGACATCTGAATCTTTGTTTCTTCATCTGGAAAATGGGACCAATGGCCACACCTACAAGCTTCAGAGGGCAGCAGGGATGAATAAGTGGGAGAACAGATGTTGAACACGTGGCTCAGGCTCTGGGGGGCACATGAGGGGCTACATTAATGTGCTTTCCTGCCCCTTCATGATTTTTCCACTTGGACTGGGTCCTCTCCTCACCCACCTGGACAAGCACTACTGGAAGGCTTCCTAGTCCCAGTTCTTGGTAGATCCAGGATCCATGGCTCTTCCCATTGCTCCAGCAGGCAGATCACCTCAGGTTTGGGAAACTGAAATCCTACTCACAGGGAAGTAAATGGGATGTGGTTAGTGAGTTACAGAGAGAGGTCCTAGCACCCAGCTTAAGCCCCTTGGGTCTATAGTGGCAAACAGATAAGGACAATAATCAAAAGGGCTGGTGAGAAGAGAATTCAGCACAATCTTTCTGAAACTCTAAAAATCTTTAGGAAAGATTCAGTAAATTCTCAACAATATTCCACTCTTAGATTTGGTAATCTTAGAGACATAGCCTAAGGAACAATTAGGACAAGATTAATGTACCAGAGATGTTCAGCACAGTGGTACCAGCGCAAAAGTGGAAATCAATACAGGAACAGCTACAGTGTAACATGTGAATTCAGTGAAGGCAAAAGTATTAGGTAGATACTAAAAATCCATGTGTTCAAAGAATATTAAATTAGGAAAATGTTCCCTGTATATCTTAAAGCAGAATGTAAAACTCATGAAATATGATCCAAATTTTGTTTTTAAAAACCATGTATGTGTGGGCATATGTACATTAAGTATAAGAAAAGACTAGGAAAAAGTAAGCCAACATGTTAACAGGGGTAATTTCTTGGCAGTAAGCCTGCAGATAATTTTTATTTCCTACTTTGTCACTGAAAACCATTCGATAATACAGAGAGACTAAGAGCCCATATCCTTTAACACCAAAATTCTGGATCTTGGGAATAGTCGGAAATTCATATAAGGATTTACAGTCACAAACATCCATCAGAATATTATAATATAGAAAATGACAAATCCACAAACAAGTCAACAACAACAACAAAAGCCAAACTAAGTATCCCTAAATGGGATAACGGTTAAACATTACAGACTATATAACAGAATTACATTATGATCATTTACTATATTTATGGGGGCTTTTTTAAAAAATTTTTTTTAATGTTTTATTTCTGAGAGAGAGAGAGCATGAGCAGGGGGAGGGTCAGAGAGAGAGGGAAACACAGAATCTGAAGGAGGCTCCAGGCTCTGAGCTATCTGTCAGCACAGAGCCCAACACGGGGCTCGAACTCACGAACCGTGAGATCATGACCTGGGCCGAAGTCGGACACTCAACTGACTGAGCCACCCAGGCGCCCCTAATTATGGGGGCTTTTAATAACAGGGAAAACGCTGATGCTTAATGTTAAGATTTAAAGGAATTACAAAATTATAAAAAGAATATGTTCAGCCACATTTAAAAAAAATTTTTAAGTGTATTTATTTATTGTGAGAGAGACAGAGACACAGTGCGAGTGGTGCAGGGGCAGAGAGAGAAAGAGAGAGAGAAAGAGAGAGAGAGAGAGAGAGAGAGAGAGAGAGAGAGAGAGAGAATCTTAAACAGACTCCATGCCATCAGCACAGAGCACGATGTGGGACTCGTACTCATGAACCATGAGAACATGACCTGAGCTGAAACCACGAGTCAGATGCTTAACTGACTAAGTCACCCAGGTGCTCCTGCTCAGCTACATTTTTTAAAAGCAGAGAGAGAAAAACCGGGAGGAAACATTCCAAAATATGAACAGTGTTACCCCTGAATGCCCTCCCCTTCCTGTCATACTTTCCTGTACCTTCCTGTGTACTCAAGTCTGCTCTTGTAATGCTTCCACAAGGAAAATAAAAATCAGAAACTCCGGAGGTGGGTAGATAATCCCATAAGAGGTGGTCAAGACTGTGGCAAGAGTGTCAGTGTGGGTGGCAAAGCTGGGCCCCAGAAAGAAAGCAGTTTGTTGAGAAAATGCCCATGGGAGGAAACTGCATTGGAATAGCCAAAGGGAGACTCCGAGAGTGAGGAAGCAGTAGAGGTTCAGAAATGAAGTCAGCTAGGAATCATTTCCTGGACACCCAGTGATATTGCAGACAAAGAAGGAACTCACTTCTAGAGAGAAGAAAAGCTTTTCAAGAGAAAAAGAAGCTAACCTTTGGAATCCAAATCAGCCATAATCTATTCAGCTTCTACGTCTTATAGATGTAGAAGATGCAGGATTAGGGTGGGGAGTGGATTAAGCGTCTCTGACCTCTAAAACAAAAGGAAACTATTCATTGTCCACAGTCCCTTGTTTGAAAATCTTGTGAGGCCAGCCATGTTTCAGGATTCAGAATTTTCCCGGATTTTAGATGACTTGGTGTGTATGTTTTCTATTATGTTACCACCCCCAACAGGGGTTGGAGCTGTACCCTTAATCAAACACGCTATATTTCTGATACACTTAAGTATACAGACACGAAGACCATGTGGGAAAAGGAAGGATGATATATAACTTCCAGTGGAAGAGATCAGGTTTTACCACCTGAACACTTCAGGCAGGGTCTTGCAGCCAGATGAGTTAGGAAAACACTTCCGGTTTTCAGAGCTTTCCTGATTTTGGAATTGCAAATAAGGGGCTGAGGACTTGTGTAGATACTCAGGGCCAAATCTTCAAGCCAAGTCATTCATTACCCAGCAAGATCATGTTCCTGTAATTCTCCAGCATCACATCTCTGTAGAGGTCCTTCTGAGCCCAGTCAAGTTTGTTCCACTCCTCTCTGCTGAAGTACATAGCCACATCCTCAAACGACACCGACTCCTGAAAACAGAGACTAATTATAGCCTCAGTTCTTTTTTTTTTTTTAAGTTTATTTATTTTTGAGACAGAGTGAGGAAGTGGGGAGGGAGAGGGAGCAAGAGAGAGGGGGGATCCCAAGCAGGCTCCGTGCTGTCAGCACAGAGCCCAACATGGGGCTTGAACTCAGGAACCGTGAGATCATGACCTGAGCTGAAATCCAGAGTCAGATGCTTAACCAACTGAGCCACCCAGGCACCCCCAGCCTCAATTCTTAAAAATAATTTTGTGAAACTATCATTATTCTACAAATGAGGCTTGAGGAGGTAAAGTGACTTGGCCAAGCTCATTCTTTCCTCTATCTTACAGAGTAGACAAACTTTTTCTTATTTATTCTGAGAGAAAACATGTGCATTTATGAGTGGGAGAGGGGCGGAGAGAAAGAGAATCCCAAGCAGGTCCCATGGTGTCAGTGTGGAGCTCCATGTCAGGCTCAACCTCACAAACCAGGAGATCATGACCTGAGCCAAAATCAAGGGTCGGACACCTAACCAGACTGAACCACCTGGGCACCCTGACAAACTTACGCTGTAGAAAGCCAAATGGTAAATATTTTAGGCTTTCAGGTGGTTTGGTCTCTGCTGCAATTATTCAGCTCTGCTGCTGTCACACAAAAGCAGCCAGAGACAACAGGTAAGTGAATGGGCATAGCTGTGTTCCAGTAAAACTTGACTACAAGGTCCAGTTTGCTTGCCCTGCTCCATACACTACCACCTCTAACAAATAATATATTGTGGTCCCTGGTTCCCTTAGGAAAGAGATGGTGCATTCACATGCGGTCACTGAAGACAGGTCAGCATGCAGACAATTTGCAAAGGAAGGGACAGGCTTCATGGAAGCCAACAAGGCAGGCTGAAGCATGCCGGGCTGGCTCTCATGGGGAACAATCACCCATATCTCTGAAGGGGAAGGAGGAAGGAAGGGGGTTGTTGGAATCCAGAAAGTTGTTGGAAAAGAAGACTGGAACTCTGCGGCCACGGTCATCCCACAGCCCAACAGGCACAGAGCTGTGGGGATAAAACCCGACACCACTTTCTTCCAAGTTTCTGCTCCCCCGCCCCCTTCCATCCCATTGCCAAAAGCCAGTTGGAAGCCAGAGGGCAAGAGAACCCACTGACAGTGTGTGAAGGTCAGCCTCCCAGGGCACAGACCAAAGTGGGGGAGGTGGAGCCTATATCAGAGCGGGGGCAAACAGAGACTGTTTAGTACAATGTACATGGTAGAAGTTTCCATTTGCAAATATGTTCAACTCATGTGGGCTGAGAACAGAAGGTGCCTCACACCTCGGGCAGCTCTTGGAGCAGAGGCCTGGTGTCTGCCCACCACACTCCCTTCTCTTAGCACAAACTGAGTAGCATCAGGGGCTGTCTGTGCAGGAAAAGGAAATACTCACCCCGACCCCCTCGGGAAACAGACACCAGAATCTCCCAAATTACATGACCTTCTTTCCTCCTTACCAAGCCTGACTTCCAGGACTATGGTTTCAAGCTCTTGCTCACCACCCATCCCAAATGTCCCTCCTTATACCAGAGCTGGACTTGCAGCTGGCTGATGTCTGTGGGACTGAGCCCTTAACCTGTGGCGTCTGATGCTAACCCTGGCAGAGAGTTTCAAAACTGAGCTCCGTTGCAGGGCACCGGGCTGGTGTCACAGAAGTGCCTGATGTATGTGGAAAAGCCCCAGCATGTCTAATGTCAGAAGTGAAGTACCGCATGAAAGGAGAATGCAGAGAAACACATGAATGTTTTCCTTAAACACTCATTTCTCGTTAACTCCTTCCCCTTCACCAGCAAAAATGTCAAAATCTTGCCTATCTTTAAAAGGATGTTCCTGTGCCTTCCTTCCCCTCTGGTTTTGGCTCTTTCTCCTTCCCTTACTGGACCAGCTTCCAGAAAAAAACTACACACTCACTTACCATCACTCCATAAGCCGCCATCTGGTTTAAGCCTCATCAGGCCTCTGCAACTAATGTGGGGCCGAGTGATGCAGTTAATGTAGAAAGTCGAGGGGGTTTCACAGAGAAGAGTTTTTAATTCAGTCTTAAAATGTGACTAGGTGAGTTTGCCTGTGAAGGAGAGAACAGGTTGTGCAAAGAAGTGGAAGAACAGAAGAGCACTCCAGACTCTCTGGTGGTCAGGGCACACTGGCCATGAAGCCGGAAAAGCAGGCAGAGCTTTGTGATTCCTCAGAAAATGCAGACGTGCTTGAGCAATATGATCAAACTGCATGAACTCAAATCACCTCCTTCCTGTCCCACTGTTCTTTCAAAATTGTTGCAATGGCGTCCTAACATATCTCCTTAGCTTTAAACTCAACTTTTTTTAAAAATGTTTATTTATTTGTTTTTGAAAGACAGTGACTGTGGGGGAGGGGCAGAGGGAGAGAGAGAATCTCAATCACTGACAGCACAGAGTCTGATGTGGGGCTCCATCTCACGAACCATGAGATCATGACCTGAGCCGAAATCAAGAGCCAGATGCTTAACTGACTGAGCCACCCAGGTGTCCCTAAATTCAACTTAGGAGAAATTTTTTTTTAATATTTATTTTTGAGAGAGAGAGACAGAGCACAAGTGGGGGAGGGGCAGAAAGAGATGGAAACCCAGAATCGGAAGCAGGCTCTAGACTCTGAGCCATCAGCAAAGAGCCTGACACAATGGGCTCATTCTCATGAACTCAGATCATGACCTGAGCCGAAATCAAGAATCAGACGCTTAAGTGACGGAGCCACCCAGGAGCCTCTAAATTCAACTTTTTATAATCTCTATAATGTTACAAACTCAGTAACTAAGCTGCTGTTTTTTCCTTAATACTGGCGGATAAGAATTTATCCCAATACTGTGGTGCCCGGGTGGCTTAGTCGGTTAAGCGTCCGACTTTCGCTCAGGTCATGATCTCGCGGTTTGTGGGTTCGAGCCCCGCGTCGGGCTCTGTGCTGACTGCCAGCTCAGAGCCTGGAGCCTGTTTCAGAGTCTGTGACTCCCTCTCTCTGACCCTCCCCTGCTCATGCTGTCTCTCTCTCTCCTAGAAATAAATAAAACATTAAAAAAAATTTAAAAAAAAAGAATTTATCCCAATATTGGAAGAATCTGTTTACATATCTACTTTTCCAAAAACAAGGGCGCCTAGGTGGCTCAGTAGGTAAAGTTTCCGACTTCGGCTCAGGTCATGATCTCACAGTTCGTGGGTTTGAGCCCCGCATAAGGCTCTGTGCTGACAGCTAGCTCAGAGCCTGGAGCCTGTCTTCGGATTCTGTGTCTCCCTCTCTCTCTGACCCTCCCCTGCTCACGCTGTCTCTATCTCTCTCTCAGAAATAAATAAAACATTAAAATTAAAAAAAAAAAAAAGAGCTTGAACTCTGGGCTCCAAAAAGACTGTAAACTCCTTCAGGTAGAGTTTATCTCCTAGCACAAAGAATACTATCTGGTACACAGTAGGTACACAGTATCACTCACTGACAGAAGGAACACAGTATCTCTCACTGACAGAAACAATCAACTGACAGAAACAATCAATGACTATGGCAACAGTAGCTAAAACTTGCAAAGTGCTTAAAATCTAACCACATACTATGGGAAGTATTACTTACTTATTTTCATAAGTGCCTCACTTAATCCTCAGAACTCCTTGTGATAGGAACTATCATTGTCCCATTTACAGATAATTAAACTGAGGCCCAGAGAGCTATGCGACTAGCTGCAGGTAACACAATTAAAACAAAGCCTGGATTTGAACCTGAGCCCAGAGTTCAAGCTCTTTACATCATACCTTCCAAGAAGGAAAAGTCCCCAAATTAATAAAGATGGCTCAGCATGAACAAAGGAGTCAAGGCCATTGCTGGGCCGCAGGGACTATCCCAAGGAAAGGGAGGAGGAGCCCAGCTCACCTTCCACCTAGCTGTCAGGAATACAGCTTCCACATCCTGGTCTCCGAGATGGGAAAGGATTGCTGCCATCAGCCTAGACTAAAAGAGAAGAATGATCATGAGTAAGGCCAATCTGAACTTAAAGCTCTCTCACCAGGCAGCCCTGGGACAGGGAAGTCCAACAAGGCCAACAAACCTCTGCTAATACACAGTCATGTGATTGGTTTTGAAATGGGTGGTAACATGAAAGGAGCTGCTAGGAGAGTCTTTTTAGGAATTTCTGAACTTAGATCAATTACCAAAGCTTTACCTAAGGGCCCCACCCTCCCCTTCTCTCTGGAATATATTCTGTAGAATATACACAGAATATACATAGAATATATTCTATATATTCTCACTGAAAGACCAAATACACAAAGGGACAAGACCATAGATGAAAAAAGAACTCTGACTCATACCCTGCAGCAATCAGCCCAGAACTTAAACCATAGCCAGTGCAGCTATCAGCTCCAAATCCTGATTTGGTCAATAACTGTCAGCTTATCTTGAATTTTTACTTCCTTCCTCCAACTGAGGACCAACAGAGAAGCCAGACACACTCCTCTCCCCAACCACATGGGATATTCTACTTCTACTTATTTAACCTGTCTCCAGCTTTCCCGAGCCAACAACCTTCAGACTGGGTACATCCAAACTTCCCCCCACCCCCGCCTTTCCCCTGCCTGCCTTCTTGAGTCTCTGCTAAACACATGACAGTGGCTCCCTTCCTTGCTATGGTAGGCTCTCAATGAAGACCCTTTGCTCATTCTCATTTTAGGGGGTGGGTGGGGAGGGTGGTCTTCATTTATTTCTCCATCTCACACAGACTCAGCTCAGAGAGTGTAAATACGATGTTAGGGCAATTCGAGATCTCAGGCTACATATAATATACACAGAGGTAATCCCTGTCAAAAGAATATTCAGAGAGCTTTACTTGATATGAATATTTTCTTGAGGGAAAAACAAACGGCAAACAAGGAGACTTCTCAACCAAAAGTGTGAAGAAGCCAAGAGCTCTCAGCAGTCACTGCTCGGTTCATAAAGCACATGAGGGGGAGAAGATGCCACCCCATGATTCTTTCAACCTGCAGGCATTTGAAAGGAGGCAAACACAGAGATAGGCCTTCTCTGAACCCCCTCATCTATCCCTAAAGACAGATCTTCCAAAAAGAACTCAATTGTCATAAATTCCCTTCCCAGGGAGTTTCACCAACCAGGGAAGATAAGACTTTTGTCACAGGTGAGGAGACTAGACGTTGACACAACACCCAAACTTTGTCATAAACTATTGGACCTTCTGTCTACTCTTCTACGGGTCCATTCACCTTTCCTAAAAACCTCTTACTCTCCTCTAAGAGGCCTATATCCTCTCCTTTCCTATTAAGATAGTATTTAGGGGGGCGCCTGGGTGGCTCAGTCAGTTTAGTGTCAGACTTCTGCTCAGGTCATGATCTCATAGTTTAGTGAGTTTGAGCCCCACGTCTGGCTCTGTGCTCACAGTGTGGAGCCTGCTTGGGATTCTGTCTCCCTCTCTCTCTCTGCTCCTCCCTTGTTCTCTCTCTCAAAAATAAATTGTTTTTAAAAAGATGGTATTTAGGCCTGAATTCTAAGCCACTCCAGGAGTTACTCATTTTTCCGTATTTCCCACACATACATGTAGTATACATGTGAATAGACTTGTCTGTTTTTCTCTTAATCTTTTATTGCAGGAGTCTCAGCTAAGGACTGAGAAAGAAAATTATTTTTCCACCCCCTATGCATGAGATGAAGAAGTAGCTTTGTTTTCTATTCTGTTTACTAGAAACTTACAACCCTTTTAGAATAGAAACACATGCAGCACCTGGGTGGCTCAGTCGGTTAAGCATCCGACTTCCACTCAGGTCATGATCTCAGGTTCGTGGATTCAAGCCCCAAGTCGGGCTCTGTGCTGACACAGCTCTGAGCCTGGAATCTGCTTCGGATTCTGCTGCTTCAGATTCTGTCTCTCTTTCTGTCTCTCTCTCAGAAATAAATAAAAACATTGAAAAAAATTTAGAATAGAAGCACTGTACAAGTTTACTCATCTGCAGCTGATTGGCTAGGAAGCTATAAGATCACCATGACATGAAGAAAGCTTAAATTCTGCAGGAGAGTCTGCACTTTGGGGAAATTAGGGCGGTTCAAGTTTTGATTCCACAGCCATGGGTGGTTGGCCTAGGGTATAACCAAATTGTGGCCTCCACTGTGGTTTTTCTTTACCATTATAAACTCACTGTTGTTACTTGAGTAACAATAGTTACTGGGATACGATTTTCATTCTTTTTTTCTGCTTCTCTGACCACCGTTGAACGCTGCTTTCTCTAAGTGCATATTTAAGAACATTCCCTCACACCATTCAGTTCCCTAAAAACACTGCTTGAAGACCCTCTGCTCTGCCTTTTAAGCAAGGAGGCACTCCAAAGAAATGTCCTGGCCGATGGGTTCAAGACTGGGGAAGGGACCTCAACCCTCTCATTATCTAAACTATCCCGTTTTCCGTGAACATTGTGCATGTGGAAGTCAGAATCTAAAACACCACTTGCCAACAATGTGAACTCCTGAAACGTTCAATCACATCTCCTTTCCGCCCTATAACCGAGCCGAACCGAACCACACTGTTAACCAGTGTTCATCAGACGTGTTCTTTCTTAATGCTGAAAAACTGACGCCACGGAAAATATTCACAAGTTGACATCTTCAGGAAGACGCTCCCTTAAGTGCCCTGCGCCCTGTTCCGAAGGCGGGGGCTGAGGACTGTCTCTCAAGCCCTGTCACTTTCCGTGGCGTGGCCACCGTGGCTCCGCCGCCCCACACACCCCTCCTATCACACTAGCTCCTCTCCTCAGACCTGCTCGCCGCCTCCGACCCTCCGCGGCGCCACCTCCTCCAGGAAGTCCTCAGTGTCCACCTGCGGCAGCCCCCATGGCGGGCTTTCCTCTCCAGGTTCCGGACCGGACCTGTGATGGACCTGCACCCCTCCGCTAAGCCCCTACCTGAGGGCGCGAATGCGGAAGAAACCCGCGCCACTCGCCGGCCCTTACTCTTGCGCAGGGAGCTCAGCTTCTCTGTCAGCGTCCCTTCTAGGAAGCGCGGAGGCTTCGCGACTCTCTGGTCCGTTTAATAGAGAAGGGCCTCCGTCTCACGCACCCCTGGTCGGGGCCAATCAACTGCCACAGCCGCCCGTCTGGGCACGTGACTTTCAGGCCCCGCCCCAACCGGTTCCCGCCCAGACCAGCAGTTCGGAATCTCTAATCACCTGGAGGGTTTGAAATCTCTGGCGCTAAGACCTTCTCCTTCCACAGCAATTGAACCAGAATCCGTTAGGATGGACCCTTGTGCCATTGCGTGGGTTTTTAAAAAAAATGTTTTATAAATTTATTTTGAGAGGAGGGAGGGGCAGGGAGAGAGAATCCCAAGCAGGCTTCATGCTGTCAGTGCAGAGCCAGATGCCAAGCTCGTTCCACAAACTGTGAGACCATGACCGGAGCTGAAGTCAAGAGTCTGAAGCTTAACTGAGCTTTCCAGGCGTCCCCAAATTGTATATTTTTAAAAGCTCCTCTTGTGTTAGTAATGTGGAGTAACCATCTTTTTATTTATTTTTTAAATATTTATTTATTTTTGACAGAGACAGAGTGCGAGCAGGGAAGGAGTAAAGAAAGAGGGAGACACAGAGTCCAAAGCAGGCTCCAGGCTGTCAGCACAGAGCCCAACACGGGCTGGAACCCATAGACCGTGAGATCACCACCTGAACCAAGGTCGGACACTTAACCCAGGTGCCTCTGTTGTTTTCTTTTAAAAAGACTGGAACTGGGGCGCCTTGGTGGCTCAGTCGGTTAGGCATCCGACTTCGGCTCAGGTCATGACCTCATGGTTTGTGGGTTCAAGCCCTGCATCAGGCTCTGTGCTGACAGCCTCAGAGCCTGGAGCCTGCTTCGGATTCTGTGTCTCCCTCTCTCTACTCCTCCCCTGCTCATGCTCTGTCTCTCTATCAGTCAATCAATCAATCAATCAAAACACTGGAACCATATGATCCAGAAATCGATCTTCTGTAACATGCCCTTAAGAAATCAGTGATTCAAACATATTTGTACACCCATGTTCATAATAGATTTATTCACAACAGCCAAAAGGCAGAAGCAAGCCAAGTGTCCTGGGCAGATGAATGGAGAAACAAATATCCATACAATGGAATATTTTTCAGCCTTAAATAGGAAGGAAATTCTGACAAATGCTACAACATGGAAAAACCTTGAGGACATCATGCTGAGTGAAAAAGGCCTGACACACAAGGACAAATATTGTATGAGTCCACTTATGGAGGTACCTGGAGTAGTCTAATTCATAGAGACAGAAAGTAGAAGGGCTGAGGGGAGGGGCAAACAGAGTTGATGTTTAATGGGTACAGAGTTTCAGCTTGGGAAGGACAGTGGTGATAGTTGCAGACAATGTGAATGTACTTAATGCCACTTCAAAATTATTAAAAAGTTAGGGGCACCTGAGTGGCTGCGTCAGCTGAATGCTTGACTCTTGACTTTGGCTCCAGTCATGATCCCAGGGCCATGGGATTGAGCCCTGTGTCAGGCTCTGCACTGATTGTGGAGCCTGCTTGGGATTCTCTCTGTCTCTCTGCCCCTCTCCCCTTGCTCTCACTCTCTCTCTAAAATAAATTTAAAAATGGGAAAAAATTAATTTTAAAAAGTGATTAGGGGTCCCTGGGTGGCTCAGTCGGTTAAGCATTTGACTTCGGCTCAGGTCATGATCTCACGGTCTGTGGGTTCCAGCCTGTGTTGGGCTCTGTGCTGACAGCTTGGAGCCTGCTTTGGATTCTGTGTCTCCCTCTCTCTCTGGCCCTCCCCCACTCATGCTCTGTCTCTCTCTGTCTCAATTTAAAAAAATGATTAAAAAATTAAATGTTATGTTATATATATTTTACTAGCATAATTTTTTTTCCCTTTAAGACACTTCAGATTACTTTCTGATTGGCTTGAGTCTTTCAAGCCTTTTTCTGAAGCTTTGTAAAGATGAGTCACCCTAAGAAGAATGTGCCTTTGGCCTGAAAGCTTGAGCAAACTTTGAAGTCCCTCAGGGCTAGTTTAATACTTTTACTGAGGCATTATACTTCCAGGAGCGCTTCTGAATGCCTCACGTGAGAGTCCTCAGACTCAGTGATGTCAGTTAGGACATGAACATCTCCCAGCTCTGTGTGAACTCTGAGAATTATTCACTTACTGTTTTCTTTCGTTCTTTGCCTGTCATTGATTCTACTAGAAACAGACTTAAGAGGACACTTTATGGAAATTTCTAGAGCATTTTCTCTGTGTAGCTTCTGGCTTCCTAGATTCTGCTACCCAAACCCAGCTGCCTCTGCCTCCCTGAACTCAAATATCTGTCTTCTCATCTCAGAGAGCCTGCTGTGGTCTGTTTGGACTTTTCCTCCCCTGAACTGTGGCATAAAAGGTGCCTTTTTCTCAGGGATCACAGGTCTGTACTGCCTGTTTTCTCCAGTCTGAAAACATGTTTTTCATATATTGTCTATTTTTTTAAATGTTTATTTATTTTTGAGAGAGAGAGTGTGAGCAGAGGAGGGGCAAAGAGAGTGGGGGACAGAGAATCCCGAGCAGGCTTCATGCAGCCAGCACAGAGCTCTATATGGGGCTCAAACTCACAAACTGTGAGACCATGACCTGAGCCAAAGTCAGATGCTCAACCGACTGAGCCACCCAGGTAGGTGCCCTTGTTCTGTCTAGTTTTATAGTTTTTTACATAAGTTCAGTGAGTCCAGTCTTACTAACTGCATGATGGCCAGAAGAGGAAATTCAGCGTAGTTGTAACATGCATTTATTTTCTTACAAATGCACTTAAAATTTTCATTTTTTTCTTTCATACTTTATTGTGAAGTTGGTTTCCATATAACACGCAGTGCTCATACCAGCAAGTGCCCTCCTCCATGCTCATCACCCCCCTTCCCCTTTCCCTCACCCCCATCAGCCCTCAGTTTGTTCTCAGCATTCAAGAGTCTCTCATGGTTTGCCTCCCTCCCTCTCCCCCACTATTTTTCCCCTTCTTCTCCCGCTTCATCCTCCATTAAGTTCCTCCTAATCCACCCACAAGTGAAAACATATGGTTTCTGTCTTTCTCTGCCTGACTTATTTCGCTCAGCATAACACCCTCAAGTTCCATCCACGTTGCTACAAATGGCCAGATTTCATTCTTTCTCATTGCCATGTAGTATTCCATTGTATAGATAAACCACATCTTCTTGATCCACTGATGGACACTTAGGCTCTTTCCATGATTTGGCTGTTGTTGAAAGTACTGCTATGAACATTGGGGTACATGTGCCCCTATGCATCAGCACTCCTGTATCCCTTGGGTAAATTCCTAGCAACACTTAAAATTTTCAATATTTAAATTGTTAAAAGGAAGCAACAGGCCCCAAATGGAGTCACTTGGGTTAAAGGTGATGCTTGCGGGCTGGGTCTGGGGACCCAGAGAGGGTCCCGTAGGATGAGGCAAGGGGGTCCCTGGCTGTAAGATAGAAATCAAGCGTAAGCCAGCAGGAAGTAAGAGCAGAGTTTATAAAAGGTGTAGAGAGAGTGCATATATAGACAGTGTCCAGGATACTCAGAAAGGAAAGGAGGGAGTCTCATCTTTGTTTGCAGTCTGGGGTTTTTACTGAGGACAGTGGTCTGATGCACGTGTCCCCTCAGTTATCCAGGAACCGGTTAGAGCAAAGACAAGGGGCCAGGTGTTATTCCTTGGAACGAGGGGGTGTTGGCATGGAGATGTCTAGTGTCATGGTCCAGAATGTGCATAGGATGGCTGTGGTGTCTAAATCTGGTCGAATGGGGGTCTCCAAATGTGGGGCAAGGATCAGGTGGAAGCCAAGGGCCTGGATGGGGAAAGAATTCACCTGAGGCAGAAGAAAGGCAATAGAAGTTTATGGAACATACTTTAAGGGAGGGGCAGGCCGGATAGCAGAGGAGAGGCTGTCTGCCTCGAGGCAATGAGTGGGGGCTGTTTTTAAAACAGGGAAGGTGAGGAGGTATGGCTAGGTATGGAATTCTACCCTTTTTTGGTAACTGTGCCTGGATGTAATTAACCCATTGGTCAGTTAGGGCCTATGGATATTTTGGGTCACCCAATGGGCCTGTCTGTATTCAGCCAAGGAACTGCTGTGGGCCCTTTCCACACTCCATCACTCAAGCCTGTTTTCCTAAAAGCAGCCTCTACAGTGGTAGAGGCATTCTCTACCAAGGGGGTCCCTGGCTGTGTGTTCTCTACCATTCTCTTCCTCTGGTCATTCTCACCTGGTCCTTGCTTAGATGTTAAAGAAATCATGAATTCCTTGTCTCTTACAAGGAGGACATTCTAGGTGTGTCTGTGGGGCTCAGTGGGTTGAACATCTGACTCTTGATTTCAGCTCAGGTCATAATCTCACCGTTGGCGAGATGGAACCCTGAGTCTGGGCTGTGCGCTGACAGCATGGACCCTGCTTGGGATTCTCTCTCTTCCTCTCTCTCTCCCCTTCCCCCACCCCCTCAAAAACAAACAAACAAACAAACAAACAAACAACAATTTTAAAATTTTAAAATCCAGGGAGGACATTCTGAGAAGTGTGTAGAGTGGGGTGGGGGTGCAGGTCCTAATAAGAATATAAGCAGGAAACACACACACACACACACACACACACAGAACAACCCAGATTTTTATGGAGTCCTTCGGTTTCCCTGTCTCAAACCCATGACACCATGCCAATATTTAACTGCCCTGATTACAGTTTTGACATTTCCTAGGAATGCAGTCCTAACTGGTCAGTCTGGAATTTTCTGGTCAGCACCAATGAAGCACCAATGCTTCTAACAGACTCTACTGTCCCCCAAAGGAAGGTTACCTTGCCAGATGATTTATTTTTCCATCTATGATTTCCTTGTTGTACACTCTCTCTGCCTTTTTAAAAAAACCTTTCCTTCTGGGAGCACCTGAGTGAATCAAGACGGTTAAACATCCAGCTTCAGCTCAGACCATGAT